AAACCCCAAAGGATCTGGTAATGGGAGTACTTAGCAGATGCTGAGAACATTCTACAAGCCCACAAAATCAGACCTTAAATATAATAGTCAATCAAAACAGATAATGTGGAATGTCTCCCTCACTACAAGCAGCAAATCTGTACAGAGGCAAATTGACTTGCATGTTATCTGTGCCATGAAAGCAATTACAATTTCTTTCATAGTTGTAAATTCAGTTTCAATTATTGTAGATGTCAATGTGACTGCTTTACACTGCAAGGGAGATATTTAAGGGTACAGTTGTTTTATGGGGCTACACAATCATAAAATGTATTCTACTGATAATGAATGCATTTGTTTTCTTACGCAAGAAATGCACTTAAAGAAAGATCTGCCACTTACACAGGCACACAAATTAATGGTGAACAGAATATACATACTGTTGTACAATAACTGTATATGCAGTGACACACAACTGCATCTGAGTAGCAGATCTAACACATATGCAGAAAATGTTAAGGAATTTATGTTCAGAACAAGCTATGTATCACATAACTGATTTATCCTTTTTAGAAGACCTAGTTTAAACAGGAATTTATGCATACATAGAGTTTCCCACTATGCCTTTATCAGGACAATTTTGATAGGTAAGGCTGAATCAAAGAAAATAAAATGTCATTCTTAGTGATTCTTCTGAACTCCACAAAAACAGTTATTTCCAGAAACAGAATCAGCATTCTTTGCATGTCTTTGCACTCCATGCTGAATCATTAAACAAACACAACTTGTCTCTCAACAGTGTAGATTTGTTGAAGTAAATAGGGATGAAAAAAAGAAGAATTGCTATGATAGAAACAGTAATAATAACGAAGGATACTGGCATATTATTGCATTATTTTGACTGACAAACATTTATTTTTCATAAAGAGAAACAAAGCAAATATAATCCTTGCTTTTTTGTACTCATAAGCAATTATGAGTTGCTGATGGCCTTAGGGCTGTCTGAATGTTGTCCAATAAACACTTTTGGTGCAAAAATGGGCTGGAGATGAAGGCACTGGGGCAGCTCCAAAGAACTGGGGCAGCTCAGAAGATCTAGAGCCCATGTTCAGTCGTGTCCATTAGTAACTAGATCCATGGTCAGCACTCATGGCCCAACTCCATAAAGCTCAGAAATTAGAAACAAAGGCGAATGACTTTACAAAATCGACATAAGCCTTTGTTGAATGTGAGCAAGAAAAACAATTTGTCAACATTACATCACAGCATCATTATGATCATGGGGCATGCTTTTTGCAGCATCACCTCAAGCTTCTAATTTCCATAGTTTTGTGGAGCTAGAGCCAACATGAAATAGCCAATAAGGTTTTTTTAACCATTGAATTTCCCTGGATTTAAAAAAGGGAAGTTTCAGATTCCAGTATAACTGTCTTCCTCTTTTCATCAGTGACCTACCATGCAGAATGGTTCCTTCAGCCCTCACAATTAGCTCATTGTAGTCTCAGCTGACAATTTCCCATTAGCATTACCCACTATCAGAATGCTGATAGGGACACTGGAATTCCTCTTAGTACTCACAAACTGCTGGAGCACTGGTAACAGCATTCAAACTTTAGAGAGAAACTAAACATGCCCAGCATAACTTTGCTAGCAGTTGTTGCCACAGCTTCAAAGGAGCAAAAAGACCCTTTAATTTTGCTATGCAGAAGTTCACCAAACCAGTGATAGATACACCTCAAGAAAATTTAATAGATTGCATCAGCAGTTTTCCCCATAATTTATTTTAATGATATGCCAAGCCACAGCAAGACTAAAAAGCACAAAACAGTGAATTTCCACCACTTCTTAACTTGCTGGATCAGTTTCATTTTGGATCAGATCAGTTTGACATTTTGTACAACGACTGATCTCTCCAGATACATTGCAGATGCCAAGTACCCATTATACAAGTGCCATTTTTGTAAGCAGTAGAATTTTGAAGCTTGTAGTGCTGAAAGCATCCTTCCTTCCTTCTTTTGACAACTCACTGTAGCTGAAAGGACACTTCTCATGTCCCTTTAGTGATAAACATTTGGCTTCATATATTTGTTTGTAAACAGGACAGTATCCAATGTGTCTGAGTGTGCTGTAAATTGACCTCTGTTTGAACAAGGAATATCTGCCATGCCACTGATAGTGTTTCTCCAGGAAAACACTGGCACCAGCCAACACTGTTGGTGATCCACTGGAGCTTCCTTATGTTACCACAACTTGATTTATAAGAGCTTCATGTCATATGGGTGACTTCCCATTCTTGTTAACAATGTGAACATATTATCTGTTTTGATCTCTGTCTGGATGCTTTGTGATTGTTATCCTATAAATGCTGCTTCAAATACAATCTGACTCTTGGAGAAAGCTTGTATATAAGCTTCCTGCTCATATATAATCCTGTATCGAATTTTACTGATCATTAACTTTCCTTATAAACATAAGCTCTGATTATATTGCCTTGGATTCTGCAATACACACACTCTGTATATAGTCCTATAATATTAGGAGCAACATAGTCAAGAGAATGAGCAGTAACACTCTGTTTCAAACTTCAGCTGATATCACAAACGTATGCATGTTCTACCTAGCGGTAAATCCCATTGATTTCAGTGACGCTTACTGATGTGTGGGTGGATGTATGACTGCAGCAAGAGAACCGAAGTGGCAGCTGTAGGGGTTGTTGAAGGTTCTTTTTTGTCACTAGCCTCTTTGCACAACAGCCCATGATGCACTAATGTACATGTGAAGAGCTGCATTTGTCTGCCAGCTGCCATTATGAATATGCAAACCCTGCCCTGAGGTTGCCATGGCTTTCAAATAATCCCAATCTGGTGGGTGGTCCTTCTCTGATGGCTCAAATAACCTTCACATAATGTTAAAACAGAGGATGGATTATGTGAGAAAAAATGCCTGGCAGCAGGTTCAGATGACTGGTCAAGCTATGGTAATCCTCTTGTCAATGCTTTCATATTTGTGGTACTATGGCATCCCAGAGGTTACTTAAGAGCATGGTGTCATCCAGACCACATCACTCTTAGTTCTATCCCCGCTCTGCTTCTGAAACTGTCTCAATGGGAGAAATAATCCGTAACTGAAGGATGTGATTCTGGATCCTCTTGGAATAATAAAGGGTTTTGAATACAGACGCTTCCTTTGTCTCACCCACAGTAAACCCCATTTTGGTAGATACTGTGTTTGGAAACACCTGGTGAATTTTTTGCAGGTTTACTGGGGGATGTCAGAAAAGACATGCACCCACTCTGGTGGAGCTCTGCTCTTCTGGTGGAGGAACACATCCTATCCAGAAGCGGATCATGACTATATTATGTGTTAAGCCTTGATGTCATATTTAAATTTAAATATTTAGACCACATTTCTATCTATGGATCTTTAAGCTATCTGTACGAACCTTTATAAAATAACAGATAAATCACAACAGTTCAAAACATTTTGTTAAAAAAGCAAAGCAAAGCAAAGCAAAGCAAAGCAGAAGTATCCATGTCTACATGAAATTACAAGGAGTCCACCCACCCACATTTAATTTGGTGTGCATAGGATGCACTAAAAGGAAGAGGTGAAAAATAATAGCTTCATAACCTAATGAAAAAGAAAGGCAAAACTGATTCATCTTCCTGCAATGTCAAATAGCCTTGATGGGATGTGGCTGGTGAGGCACTCTAGGGAGAAATTTCATTAGTTCAGGGACCTCTGTCTTTCTAGTAGCAACTAACATTGATTCAGATGGCAGTGGAAACCTGAGCAAAATACATGCTGTTGATCTTATTCACAGGATGTATAAATGGGGAGCCTTCCCACCTTTGCTTTTTAAAGAAGTTTTGGACTACAAGGTCCAGAATTGCATACCATTGCCCGTACTGGTTGTAGCTTATAATTAAAGTCCAAAGCATTTTGACAGCTAGATGCAACTGCTTGGAGGCATTCTGGATGCAATTCATATAGTCAAAATTGGCATAATCCATTGATTCCAGAAAGAACATGGCAACCAGTGAAGATGGTGAAGGGCCCCATATGCTCCCAACACCGAGCAACTGGAAAAGACACACCATGGCATTTCAGAATAGCCGCAGTTTCCAAACATTCCTTATGGGCAGCTGTGCATGGGGCATATTCCAGTATTCAAGTAAAATTTAGGAAGTTACCAGGATATAGAAGACAACAGACAAATCTTAACCCTGATGAAAAATACGAAGCTGATTAAAAAACCAGCCAACCAGCCAGCCACTCTCTGGGCAAACTAGAATGCAGGAACACTTTCAAACTGAAGAAAATGAACAATCCAGTGAAAGCAGCCATTTCCCTTGAAATCCAGCTGAAAGGGTAGCCCACAATTTTATACTGTCTGAGATTGTCATACTTATTATTATGTATTTGCAAGCTAATTCCAGCTCTCATGATATATCCTCTCCAAATGTCAGACTTTTCCTAAGGATCCAGCAGCCCCAGGGAAGGCTTTTAAGTGGACACAGTGGATAGAATAGAGATCCCCCCATGTGTGACAGTCACTGTGCTGCTGTGCTGTTAGAGCCACCCTTTGCCTTTTGCATTTGATTGGCAGAGACAGAAGGAGAGCGCTTATGTTTGTTCTTACATGTACAAGGAAGGAAGTCTCTCTCCAGGTGCCTCAGTGTCCTGAAGCGGGAAGTATAAACAAAGATGAGGCAGATCATGATGGCAAAAAATGGTCCTTCAAAATCTAGAATACATCATCAGATTTTTCTTGTTAGTTCCTTTGGAATGCCATTGAATTCTAAATCTAAATATGCATTTTCTAAGGAAATGTATTAACTTTTTAATGGATTAAACTATATAATTACAAAGCACCTGGAAATCTCTGGCTTCGCACAGTCCTAGTTCATTGCCCCGCAGCATCCTTAAAATGATCTATTAAATGATATTAGAAATACTTAATTATACCATTCAACTCTTAGAGCACCAATGTAATTTCATGGTTACAATTTTCTTGTCAGGTAATAAAACAGGATGAGCTCAGCAAGGATCTGTCTGATTGCTCTCTTTTCGATCTCTTGAAATATGATGATTATAATGGTGACAAGCACCTTGGCCTGGAAGAATTCTACAGAGCATTTCGTGAGTATGCTGCCTCATATTATTTCATAGCATATACATAATTTATAAAATGCTGATATACTATTTCAAACAGAACATACATTTTTGCATCTTATGTTGAAGGTGAACCCTTATTTAAGCCTCCATTAGCATATTGGGCCATATTAGATGGATGGTGGCCCCAATCCATCAACTTCTCTTCCAGACCACCAAGGAGGGGATTCCCTGTATCTGAGGTGTCATCTACTGGATTCATAGATACTTAGGTGATACTTAACATGCTATCGATGTTGTGTTTGAGGACTTGGGCAAAGTGCTCTCTAGTAGTCACAGGCTGCCTGTGTGGCTGTTCAACTCCTAGGCTGCTTGCTAGGGTAGTCTATCTACCTGGTAGCCATGTTCATTGCCATTGGTGTCCATGGGCCCAAACTCATGGAAGCAAAAAATGCAACTGGCTATCATGAGCCTGGGATTCTCCATCTCCTTCTTTTTAGCTAAAGGGCTAAATCAACATTTCTCCAAAAACTTACCAAGATGCAATCATAGGATGGTAGCATTAAGACCTGACAATGTAACAACTTTCATGTCTCCTTTATTCCTTCATCTCTCCTAAAATACCTGGTATATTTTTCAAATATTAAAATGAGGGCAGCCCTTTCCAGGGCGAGATTATGCATTCTTCCTTTGACTGATTGCAAGGGCTTGTATAAAGGATAGAGTATGCATTTGTAATTTCATATCCGTGGAAGATCTTGTTCATGCACTTCCAGACTATAATGATCTCAGAAACAAATATATTCACTCATTGTTAAAATTATTGAAGGGAAGGTCATATTTTATGAAAGTTTGTTTCTTATTGTCTAATGCTGGTAAATACAGTAAAGCCCCCATATCTTCTGCTTCCGTTGCTGTGGTTTTCACTTAACCGTGGTTGACCACAGTCTGAAAACAAGACCTGAGTAGACACAGCCTGAAAACAAGACCCTCTCTAAGGGAGTTTTTCCTGTCCCACACTGTGAGCCTTGTATGAAGTTGTGAGCTTGGTCCTGGGTCTGGTGCCCACCCCACCCTTGCTGTGGGGGTAATGTACTCTTCCAGACCAGCAGCAGTGGAAGCTAGGAAAGATAGTACTCCTGCATATCTGTCTGTGCATAGAAACAATGCTGCCCATGCGAGTCCCCTCCCTCTCACCTGCCCTGCCATCTGCACCCCACCCCAGTCTGTCCACTGCACAGTAGCCCTCAAAACTCCAAAATATTCCCATTTAGTTAAGGGCAAAGTTGCGAATAGTGAAATCTACAAACCCACAAAAGTTGAGGTTTGTTTGAATACAATTTTTGCTACTATCCATGGTTTCAGGCATCTTCTGGGGGGCTTGGAACCTATCCCCCATGGATATGGAGGTCCTATTGTGTGTATCTTTAGAACTTCTAAATTAAATATCCAGCTTTTGAGAAGAACATTGTATAATGGCAAATTTATGAAGTACAATAAAGTTTGCTTGTATGTGTGCCATTGGTGCTCAGAAAAAAAAGTGTTGGTCAGGCCTGTATGACTCTTTTCCTTCTTTCAGGCAGATTCTACTTTTAAAAGGAGAAATACTGAAGTGGGTAGTTTCTTCATTTTTTTATTTGTGCCCTTCATTTCAACAAAGAAAAAATTAGTTATCATGGTGGATTTCGATCCTAAATTATCTGCTATAGCTTGGTCCAAAATCCCCATGCTGTAATAAGGAATAGTATATAAATCTTGTGAATAAACAGAGAGATAAAGCTTGATTAAAATGATAAGAATTCAATGCACTTAATAAAACACAGTTGAAAACAAACACACACAGAATAAAAGCAGCATCCAACACAACAGAACCACTTACGTACCAAAGTCCGGCTTGACTGTAAAGGCCATAAGAAGGACAGGAGAAAAGGCCCAAACTTAGTATTGCTTAGGAGGAAATTCCACAGCTTGGGGGTTGCCACCAAGAAACCCTCTCTGCAGTTGATACCAAATGTACTTCTGAAGGTGGTGGTATAGAATGAAGGGACTTTCCTGATGATCTTAGGACCAGGGCAGGCTCATATTAGATAAGTCAGTCTTTCATGTCACCTGGCTCCAACCCGAGTAGGACTTTAAAGATCATAACCAATATTTGAATTCTGCCCAGAAAAGGCCAGTAGCCACTGAAGCTGTTATTACATGTGCTCCCTAAACTGGCCCTGGCCACAGCATTCCCAAAGTTTTTAAACAGTTTCAAAGACAGTCCCATTTGGAGCATCTTCCAGTAGTCCTTACAGGATTTACATAAGGCATGTACAACCATGATCATTGGCTAGGATCAGGGGCAGTGGCACACTTGCCTCAGTAGCGCAAAACCTTATCTGGCCACTGAGAAAATTGTCTTGGGCCCTGGTGGCTCTTGATAAGCAAGCCAACAGCTGATGCTGGGCCTGGATTTATTTATTTTTTTAATACATAGCATGTATTAACCACATTTTGCATTGGGATTTTAAAAGATTTTTTTTTTTAGTGTGAATGAAATAAATAGAAATAATTTCGAATCATGTGAGGGAAAGATTTTCAAATGATTACACATGTGTTTCTTTGATGTACTGGTTAGTCAGAAACAAGAATTTCCTTAGAAAAATATTCTTTTGAAGCAGTGCAGGTAGAACTAGGAATGTCGATATCTCAGTATGAGTGAAATAAGAGCAAACAGAGAAACCTGATATCTGTACACCTGAGAAAACCAATGCATGTTGTTGTGTATCTAAATAGCCACCTCTGGCTGATTAGACTGTCACTCACTGAAGGGAAATGGAAGAGTATGTAGTTCTATATGCTGATTCTTATGCAGTTCTGTAAAATGATTGGCAACAGTTTCAAGCTTAAAGGCTTTTGATAATTTCTTTTCTATTGGCAGCATAGTAATGTTATTTAGGCATCTGTCATGAAATTGTTTGAGATATGGCATATTCTCCTTTCTTTATTTTGCATTTTGATTGAATCTTCTGCAAGCAGCTTTACATCTGCCATAATTTTCCTGATCTCTGAGGTCTTGCAATATATCTAGTAAAAGAATTAACAAGGACACAAGTCTGAGCCATGCCATAGTCTGATTTTTACAAAAAAATCTGATGACACTTTAAGTTCAAGAAGCACTTTACTAAGAAGATTCAGGCAAAACACAATGTCAAATACATTTGTCTTAGAATTCCACAAGCTGCCACACATCTTTCAGAATTTGATCCAGTACTAAATATATTCAGAAACAATTAAATTACAGGAGTTAACCATGAAACATGATGTAATCTGGCACATCCAGTGAGTGCCTGGCAATCCTTTATTTAATAATTCTGTTCCCTGTTTGTCAGTGCAAGACAGTGAAATGTTGATGCACATCAGAACAGGATATACGAATATGTACAGTTGGTGAAGAAGCCTAATTTTTTTTACCGCATTAACATTAATTAAGTCCAGCCTATGGTTGAAACAATGGTTTGTGGCACCTTTCTCAGAACAATACCTGCATACAGTTTAGCTTGTTATGCATTATCCTGGCACCATCAGGATGTCCTATGCAGTGCTTGACATATAAGCCAAAACACCCTAAGACGTTCTTTATGTAAATCACTACTGAAGAAAGATGGAAACCAACCATGTGTGTGTTATATGTGTGAGTATAGCCGCTGTAAGCAATAACTCAGACCTACCTCTATTTTCCCACTTAAGTAAGTCATTAGATTTATCAGAAATCAGTGTGAAGAAACAAGCTTTCTTCACCTCATGAGAAATTGACTGCAGAACCCTCCTGCTTCTAATGTTTATCAGTTCATCTTGAATGGAATGACATGTGTACTTTGCATTGCAAAAAGAGAAACTGTTTTAGACTAGCTTCTTGGATTATGTTTTGTAATTATATGCAGAACTTTAAGGACATCTCCCCTCACATCACTTTCTCACTTTTTCTATGTCTGTGCTGACTTTTTTTTTTTTTTTGTATAGTAGATGACAAAGTAATTTCTGCAAAAATGGATATATAATACCTGTTTTCTTTGAGAAGTCACCTATTTGCAGCATTTAATTGTGCCAAAACTGAGCCTCCTTGAATGTCTGTTTATTTCTCATACCATCATATAGTTTTTGTGGGCTGCATTTCTGATGTATAGCTTCAGTCTTAAATAGTCAGTCTTGATTCTGATTTCTGACTCTTAGCTGAGCAGATCAGAAGAAGCCACCCCAGCTGGTCAAGGAACTTTGGGGTACAAGCAGCCAAGCTCCCAGGGAGTGAGCAACCAGAGAGAGTGACCAGGGAAAGCAAACAGAAGTCTGGTGGTGGGCTTCAGTGAGGAAGGTCAAGTGGGAGCTGACCCACAACATCTGTGCATTTTCCCCCCCGTGTGCTTCTTGTGTGCCACCCAGAGAGCCCCCAGGCTATGGGGTGGCATACAAATACAACAAGTCAGTAAATAAATAAATAAATAAATAAATAAATAATAGATTACATGGCCTACCTGTGCAACCAGTACAAGCTAGCAGCCCTGTTAGAAGAAAAGCTGAGAGCACTAGAGAGGCGAGTGTCCACTCTCAAGAGAATAAAAGAAGATGAAGAGTTTTTAGACAGAGCAGTGGAACTGCAGCAGCTAAGAGTAGTACAGAAGCTTGAACTTCAGTCCTGCATGGAGCCAGGTGCTGGACCCAATGGCCCTCTAACCACTTCCAGCTCAGCTAGTCTATGATTCTATGATCATTATCAGTAGCCGTTTTCCACTAATTGAGCCTTCAGGAGTAAATGCATTTTCACCAGTACATTTTCATCTTGTCCAGTGAATTGGTGACAAGCAAAGCAAAGCACAACACTTTCTATTAGACAGTAGTCCCATAAAGAGTACAGTTTGGACTGTGCCGTTTTAAAATATCTCCATAGCTGGTCATATAAAACTTGTTAGAAACAGATGTATTAGACTTAAACATTGTATGGTATAATGTTTAAATAAACAGATAGGGACAGGAACATGAAGTGAGCA